TACCAGCCTGCGAAGTCCTTCGTGGATAGTGTAGTAGAACACCGGTAGGTTCTAGTCTAGGTTATAGTTTAGGTTTATTCTTTTATATTGATTGATGATAGTTGTAGGTTTATATATTTCTTATGTTGTAAATGATTCATATTTATTGTATTACTTATGAATCATATTTCAGGTGTTTTTAGTGTGTGTGTGTAGTATTGTAGTGGAGTGTGGAACGAAGATAAGAAGATATAGTAAACAGTAGCTAGGAGTGTAAGTAGTAGTCAACTAGAAGAAAGAAGATAGTAACGAAGAAGTGTAATTTGTATAAACATAGTTTTAGTAATATATTTTAGTAGGAAGTAAAGACTTTTAGTTCGGATATTATTTGGTGATATTTTAGTGTAGTAGTTTTAGTAAGTAGTTAGTTAGTAGTTAGTTTATAGTGGGAATCGGGTACAGGTCTAGGGAGGTTAGTGAGTAAGTGAATTATTATAATATCTAGTGTTAATTTATTAACACCTTCTATTTCAGTTTATTTATTATAATTCCGAGTTTTATTTTGTATTAACATTCCATTTAATTGTGTATCAAGAATAGGTTGTAACAGTGGTAGCAGGAAGAAAACCATCAGGAGTCAAAGAAAAGTAAAGTGTAAAAGTAAAGTAAAGTGTTAAAAGTAAAGTAAAGTGTAAAAGAAAAGTAAAGTTTAAAGTAAAGATTTAAAGTAAAGTAAAGATGGGTAGTGAAAGAATACCAGTATTGAATGATGCGACAGATTATGGTCTATGGAAGAAAGAAGTCAATATATGGGTACTTGGAACTCAAGCTAAAGAAGCACAACAGGCGGCCAGATTGATTGGATTTATGTCTGGAAAAGCTCACGAAGCAGCTATACAGATTCTACCTGCAGAACTTGGAACTGTAGCGAAGCTGACAAGTGAGTTGGACAAACTCTTCTTGAAAGATGACACACAAAGCTTGTTTCAAGCTATCGAAGAATTTGAGCAGTACAATCGCTCTAAAGAAGATAGTATTGATGATTACATCAGAGGGTTCGAACAGAGATACAAACGACTGAAGTCTCTTCGAGAAGACAAAGATGCTTATGAAGACGGGATCAAGGTCTTCAAGTTACTTCACCAAGCAAGCCTAACATCAGAACAGAAAAGACTCATACGAGCAACAACAGAAACACTGACGTATGATGGCATGGTGAAAGCTCTAAAACGTACGTTTGGAGATGGTTCTGGAATAATATCCAGTTCAAGCAATGATCAGGGGAAGAGCACAAATCCTTACTTCTCGGAAGCTAGCTCTAGTGGTCTAAAAATCAAAGAAGAACCAGTATTTTATACAAAAGATTCTTACCACAGCAGCAGCTCAGCAAGTGACAGAAGTGGATATTGTTCGTCTGGTAGTGACAAAAGAAACCAGCATAGCAGTACAAGTGACGGAGAACAAGAAGATGAAGAGAATGTTCTGTATTTCCAAGGTGGTAAGTACCAAAAGGTAAGAAATACACAAAGACCAGAAGAGAAATCCTACCAAAGACCCAACTCTACAGAGCCGTTCCAAAGACAAAGACCTACTGGACAATCCTACCAAAGACAAAGTCCAAACTACTATCAGAGAGAAGGTTTTATGAATAAGGCAGAGAATTTCAAGAAAACAACCTGTCTAATATGTGGATCGCCAGAACATAGAGTAATTGGGTGTCCCTATAACACGTTCAATGCCAAGAAGAAAGAAGATAACAAAAGATTAACGTTCTTAACAAATGTAATACAATTGGAATCTGAAGTTGCTCTCCCAGAGAGAGACGAAAGATACACATTTTTCATCGGAGAAACGGTGAATAAAGCCCTACTGGATACAGGGGCAAGTTCTACTGTCTGTGGAAAACAATGGTTGAGGATCTATGAAGAATCATTATCGCCAGAAGAGACTATGAAGATAAAAAGTGAACATTGCGAAACAACGTTCCGTTTTGGAGACGGAAACAGAGTCAAATCTACTCAGCTGGTTTCGCTACCAGTAAAAATGTTCGGAAGAAACATCACTCTAAAAACTTACGTAGTAGATAGTGAAATACCGTTGTTACTATCAAGACAAACGATGAATGAATTTCGTTTCGTTATAGACATGTGGCAGAAGAAAGTCTTTGCAATGGGAGGAGAAGAACACATTTTAGATACTCAATCAGGGCATCTAGTAGTGTCTATTGGAAGGAGTGAAGACACAGTATCTTCAGTAAAAGAAGAGACTGCTTTTTTAGTGGATATAAACGACTCAAAGAAAACAGCTAATCATCTCCATAGATATTTTGCTCATGGTTCTACCACAAAGATCGGAGAATGGATAAAGACGACAAAGATTCCCAATGTTACTGAGGTAATTAAAGAACTTGAAATATGTGAAAAATCTTGCGACTGGTGCATGAAATACAAGTCACGTGAGAAGCCCCACCGTAAAGTTGCTATCCCTAGCGGAAACACATTTAACGATGTTGTAGCGGTAGACTTGAAGAAGCTAGATAACGGAATTTGGATTGTTCATTATATAGATACTGTGACCAGATTTACTGTGGCAGCTCCGTTAAAGACAAAGACTGGAAAAGAAATAATGACAAAGACCTTCAATCACTGGATCTCAATCTTCGGGAGAATGAACACCTTGATGAGTGATAATGGAGGAGAGTTTGTAAATGATGACTTTCTTGAGATGTGCTCAATGTGCTCAATTAACTTTAAAACCTCACCTGCATCTTCACCTTGGTGCAATGGTATGATCGAAAGACATCACTCTCTGCTATCTGGGATGGTTAATGCTATACTTGAAGAACAAAACTGTAACATCGAGATTGCTATTGCCTGGGCATGTAATGCGAAGAACTCATTAAATAACGTATTCGGTTTTTCACCGTATCAGCTGGTTTTTGGGAGGACCCCTTCAGTACCATCAGTGCTAGAATATGAAAATCTACCTGTACTAAACGGGACCACAGCTAGTAAAATAGTGGCAGAGAACCTGTATGCTATGGAAACAGCCCGGAAGAAATTTATAGAATTGGAGAATTCTGCAAAGTTAAAAAGAGTGCTTCGTGAACGAGTATATGAGTCCAATAACGCTAAGTACACTGCAGGAGATCAAGTATACTACAAGAAAGACAAAACTTTCCTTGGTCCTGGGTATGTAGTTGGTCAGTTAGCCAATTCGGTGCTGATTAAACACGGAGGAGCCCTAATCCGTGTTAACCCCTGCAAGATAGTGCTAAAGAAAAGAGCTGACGAGATGATAAATGGAGAGAGCTCACCTACTGATGAAGAACCAGAGAAAGAGCAAAGACCTCACCCAGAGACAAAGGCTCATGACTCTCATGAGAGTGAGGGAGAGAAAAGAAACTCCTCAAAGAAGAAGACACAGTTATACGAGAGCGTGTATAATTCAGACTCAGAAGAAGACGGAGTCTCAACATCTACTTCAGCAGTTAACGACGAAATTGATACTTCGTCTATAGAAGTACATCAAGCGGAGACCGAACCTTTACCACAAGAAGCCACTCCTATGGTGGCTTATGTCCGCCATCGTTTTTTTTTTCGATTCGAAAAACATTGAATCGAAAAAAAAACGATGGCGGACATGAGCCATGGCTCATATCCGCCATCGTTTTTTTTTCGATTAAAAAAAACCGACGTCAAATCATTTTCCATTTTAATATTGAATCGGAATGTCATGGCTCATATCCGCCATCGTTTTTTTTCGATTTAAAAAAAACCGACGTCAAATCATTTTCCATTTTAATATTGAATCGGAATGTCATGGCTCATATCCGCCATCGTTTTTTTTTTCGATTTAAAAAAAAACCGACGTCAAATCATTTTCCATTTTAATATTGAATCGGAATGTCATGGCTCATGTCCGCCATCGTTTTTTAATTGACTCGGAAAAAAACCGACGTCAAATTAAATTTTCCATTTTAATATTGAATCGCAAAAAAAACGATGGCGGACATGAGCCATGGCTCATATCCGCCATCGTTTTTAAAAAAGTTCACTCAAAAATGAAATGACTTCGTTTGAAATTGCACGAAAATGTCTCCGCGCGTTACAGTAAGTTAATTTACTTGTTCAATTGCATGCGCGCCCCACGCGCGCTCCCAGGCCATCAGATGTGTCTCAAAAATATAGACGGATGACTTTTTGTCATATTATGTATAATAATTTTGTTTAATTTATCAAGTTGTGTTAAATTTAATGCATTCTCATTTCTGCTCGTAATCAGAAACCTTATCTACCTGTGTAATCAGCTGTTGATGAGGCCCGTTAACGAGGTCCACGCCCTGCTCCAAATAACCACTAGCAGGACACCAAGTCAGCAAATGACACTCGCATTTAATTGCTAATTACACCAAATGAGTTACTCAAGTTTAGCATCACATGATTTCCACCTTGGGACCAAAACCAGGCCGGTAGCATACAAAATTGGCGGCATATTGGACAACTTGAAAATAATAGTCATGAGGCCGAGGGCCAAGGCTGAGGCTGCTATATCCTGCAGCTCGTATGAGGTCTGGTTTTGTTAGACCCTATTATAACATTATACCTGGATGGCTTATTTAAATAAAGGTATATTCCAAACTTGGAGCGTAGTGTGCAGAAAACGAAATCGTTAAATACATTGTATAGTTATTGATTCCCATTTAATTAGTCCAAAACACAGATGAATAAGTGTAGAAATGATACACGTGATTTTTGTCAATAATTTCTTTGATCAGGTTATAATATATAAGATTTGTGTATCAAAAGTTACATGCTCATAAACAAAATTTCAATCCGAATTATCGGGCCATTATAACATTCGTATTTTGTACCTTTTAACTTTTTAACCCAAAGTCTAATGATTTGAAATCTTACTGTTCTGCTAAGAATACTCTTTAGTTTTATTCGACCAGCATGAAAACGCAGCCAGCCAGCACGAGATTGAATTCAAAACGTTTCGAAAAACTAAAACCTTAAATACAGCTTAATCAATAAATCATGTAATCCTAAAAAAGGCTCGATATCCAAAAGTTCGAAGTATCAATTAACGATACATAATATTACTCTAAGACCCCAATTTATCTCAAACATATGCTATGTAAATATAATCTATCATCAAAACAGATTTCACGATTTGAAACAAACTTTAACTTTAACTTACGTGTCCAAAATTATCTCTGTAATAATATATCATAATATTTAAATTGGAAATTCTTCTTAACTGATTATTCGAAGTACAGCCGATAGCCAATTTATCGATAAGTTTGTGGTATTAAATATGCAGATGTACGAATAAGTTATACAATCGTCTAGTGTTCATTGGCAGCATTTTTTATCGGCATACAATATTGTCTGGCATCCTGAACTGAGGTGCAATACCATACCCTGAAATGATTTATACCATTAATTATCATATTGATATTCTTGGTGATTTTACAAAATCTAAGCATATCAATATTCAAAGATTCAATATGACAATCATTCACTTTCGACAGGTTTTAAAATTAATCCCCCCGGCCCCCCCCCCCCCCCCCCCCCCCCCGTTCAATTATAATTTACCTCTCGGTAGTGCTGAATAAGATAGCTATAGTATTCAACATTTCAACTGTTTTGTCATCTTCGACATCCCCAGATTTGATGCTGTTAATAACTTCCTCGATGTCGTTACGGTCAGTTCGACTCCACATTCCTGGTTATATGATAGAGTATAATAATGCTTTAAAATCGATGAGCCTCATACTTCTGATTCTAGATTATCCAATGCTGTGTATTCTGGATTTTTTTTTCCCAGCAAAAATTTGGTCCGAAAATGGGAGAGAAAAAAGAAGGGAGAGAGATGGAGAGAGATGGAGAGAGACAGGGGGAAGAGAGAGGGAGAGAGATGGAGACAAAAAGGGAGAGAGAGAGAGAGAGAGAGAGAGAGAGAGAGAGAGAGAGAGAGAGAGAGAGAGAGAGAGAGAGAGAGAGAGAGAGAGAGAGAGAGAGAGAGAGAGAGAGAGAGAGAGAGAGGGAGAGAGAGAGAGACAGAGAGAGACAGATAGAGACAGAGAGAGAGAGAGACAGAGAGATAGAGAGAGAGAGAGAGAGAGAGAGAGAGAGAGAGAGAGAGAGAGAGAGAGAGAGAGAGAGAGAGAGAGAGAGAGAGAGAGAGAGAGAGAGAGAGAGAGAGAGAGAGAGAGAGAGAGAGAGAAAGAGACACAGGCGGACAGAGAAAGTGGGAGAGAGATGGATACAAAGGGGTTAGATAGACAGGGAGACACAGACAGAGGAGAGAGATAGAGAAAGAGATAGTTAGGGAGAAAGAGAGAGGGGAGAGATAGGGAAAGAGAGAGGGAGGGAGAGAGGTAGAGAGATAGGGAGAGAGATAGGGAGAGAGATGTAGAGAGAGGGGGAGAGAGATGGAGACAGAGAGGGAGTAGATGTGGAAAAAGAGAGATGGGGATTCAATATACAATCATTCACTTTCGACAGATTTAAAATTAAGAGAGAGAGAGAGAGAGAGAGAGAGAGAGAGAGAGAGAGAGAGAGAGAGAGAGAGAGAGAGAGAGAGAGAGAGAGAGAGAGAGAGAGAGAGAGAGAGAGAGAGAGAGAGAGAGAGAGAGAGAGAGAGAGAGAGAGAGAGAGAGAGAGAGAGAGAGAGAGAGAGAGAGAGAGAGAGAGAGAGAGAGAGAGAGAGAGAGAGAGAGAGAGAGAGAGAGAGAGAGAGAGAGAGAGACAGAGAGAGACAGAGAGAGACAGAGAGAGAGAGAGAGATGAAGAGAGAAAAAGGGACAGAGAGAGAGGGACAAGGAGATAGATAAGGAGAATAAGAGAGATGGAGAGATAAGAAAGGACACCTCAACATTCAAATATCATAGCAACAAAGTTCACATGTCAACTGTCGTTTGAAATTGTAATTAGTAAACCACTTGCTCTGTTTGGGCACAACACAAGGGTATTTATTTTTAAATGCACTATCCAGGGATGCTTTATTACATACCTAAGGCATCTGGTATTCAATCTTTGCAGTGCAGTTGTTTCTATCATGGCAGTCCTGAGCGCCAGTCTTTTTCGTCTTTCAGTCATTTTTCATTTCAAATCAATAAGGCAGCACTAGAATTTAGCAATTAAATGCTCTGTGTGCAATACCGAACTATAGTGTGTGCATGTCATCTATTATGTTGGTCTCAATAAATCTGGAAACCATTGAATATGTCTTCCACTGCTCCTCAGTTGATCACAAAGCATTTGAAATAGGGTTTAGGGTTATGACCAGCTGTGTATTTAGATGAAGCAAGGCCAGGAACCCAGCATGGTGAAGGATAAGGACAGTTATCGAGTAAAGAGATCTGTCACTCTACTTTCGTAGCTTTCGACTCCATCAGGATCGTAGTTTGTGCATACAAATACCTTTGATGGAGTAAATGTTAGACAGTGTTTTTATGAATATATCCTGGTGAAAAACTTACTTAATATATATATAGCAACAGTAATATATAACAACAGTATAAGTAGTATTTAAATAAACTTCTGAGAAATCCAATTATGAAGGGTCTTATTTCATCCGAAAAGCTGAAGTTTGAAGGCCATTGAAAACAACCGAAATACCTGACCTATGTGACTTATGTAATATGTAATGAAGACAAATTTGAGTTTCTATGCCATGCTGTCAATCGGTCTAACCCATTGAACCACTTGCCATTTACATGTGAAGTCTACCAGTATTCAACCTCAAAAGGCAATCTTACGCCTGTCCAACAACTTCGGGACCTTGGAGTTACTGTCAGTTCTGACTTGAGCTGGACTTTACATATCAAAGCTATGGCAAACAAGGCACGTCAAAAGACTGCATGGGTATTGAGTGTCTTCCACACCAGAAGCTCCACTATCATGCTGACACTATACAAGTCCATGGTACGCAGTTTACTCGAATACTGCTGCCCATTATGGAATCCATCTGAAGTGTCAGATATACAAGAACTGGAAGGAGTTCAACGGACATTCACATCTCGACCCAGTGGCAAAAATTTAAAAAGTGGCTAGGAATCCAGTCTGGAAAGAAAAAACGGCTATAATAAATTTTTAAAACGGCTATAAATAGCAGGAACCAAACACCTTGATTACTGGGGGAGATTAAAAAACTCTCACTCATGTCTCTACAACGTCGAAGGAACGCTATATCCTGCTACACATGTGGAAGATCCTGATCCTCCATGGGTCCATCAGCAACGATCTGAAGATTAACTTCACTTCAAGACCTCAAACTGGCATTAAAACAGAACTTGTACCCTCCTACGAAGGGGTATTGCTGCTTACCACCAGAGTCTCTATGACAATTCGTTCGCTGTTATTGGCCCACGTCTCTGGAACTGTCTTCCTGATTACATCAACAGGATGGAAGAATTGAACTGGTTCTAGTTTTGATGGAATTATTGCAAGGTTTCCAAGCCTGGGCGTGAAACAAATAGAACGTTCAGATCATTCCTGGTCTTTCCATGGAGGATTTTCCACATATGGAGAATGATGAATCGCTCCTGCCTTCGTTGAAGAGACATTAGAAATAGATCGACCAGGCGTTCCCAGTACTAGTAGTGGAGATGCCCATTCCCATAAATATATACTTTCAACACTACTATTATATAACAAATAATTTGAGGATGACAGTAAAGGTACATTTAACCGACATTTGAAGTCAAGGCGTTGTTTTACTGACAGTTTACGCTGACTAACAATATATTTATATATATATGCAATCTTCAGCACAAGTGTACATCATGTCTGCTAAAATATGATAGTTGCAGCTTAACTATGTAGTAAGAACTAAGAGCAGAGGAAATCAAAACAATTGTGACCTTAAAAGTTATGTAGGTATGCTGAGGGAATTCCAGGAAGGGCATTTATCTTCTTGCATCACTAGACTAGAGATCTTTTTCTTCATCATCATCTTCTTACAAGACTTCTAGTACTGGGTAAGTTTAGACCTGAACTTAACCAACAACACCCACTGTCCTCCTTGGGTGACAGGAGTGTTACTTCTCTCTCCCTCTCTCTGTTGTCTGCCTGGACGTTCCAAGATCTTTTCTGTCTTTGGTAAAGTAGATAGATGTCTCTTTGCCTGGCAGTGAGCTTCTTGGTGCCGCTCCATTTTTTACTACTCTCTTGATCTTCTTTGCTTTTTCTGTACTATTACATCTTACACATTTAAAATAAACATACAAGAATATTTGCTCAATTATGATAGTTACAGGTCAACCAACAACGTTGCAAGCAATTTATAACTTTAAGAGCCACACAGGGAGAGTAAGGAAGAATCAAAATGTAAAACGTGATTAAAATGCTAGGAGAAACCTCAAAAATTTCTATGATTTTAGTCACCTACAAAAATTGTACCTATTGAATCAGAGATGTCGAAGGGATTTCATGTAGGAAAACACCAAACTTAGCTACATTTTATACTTTAGAAGGAAGGATACTGTCGAAATTTGTAATACTCTAATCGTGAAATATCGTTAACTCATTACACCGGTAAAGCCCATTGCAGTTTGCATCGGATCAGCTCCAACATGACAACTTCATGTCAGCCTACAAAATTTTAAAGTATTCACAAAGTTTGGTGGTAATTGGGATGTGACAGGTAAAGATAAGTACATTTCATCTTACGTTGTCTTGAACAAGCTCGAAACGTGGGATAGAAATGTTTCGTATAGCAATCAATTTTTCCTAACAATATTTTTAGAGTTTCGGGAAGAACAAACAAACGCATTGCGCGGCGTTACTATTTTTAAATAAATATTGTTAACCAACATTCAACAAAATTTTTAATATCCCATATACATTTTATATTGTTTAAAATTCGGTTTTAACTATCATCATAAATTAAAATTATAGTTACATAATTTAGTATTACTTTGTCATGTGTCAAAAATTAATTAAACAATGGAATATTAAAATTCTGAATTAGGGTAAATTAAAAACATTTGTTGATTATGCATAATTCAATTATTTCCAAAAATGTTTTATGCTTATATGATAATGTTTTTTTAATTTAGAAATATCAAATATACCTGAAGAATAAAAAATTTTTCGAGATATTAAAAAATCAGAAATTTAATGTATCACGTTGCGACCCCCACGGCACACGGTCGTTTCACTATGGTGGGGGAGCCGCGCACTTCGTGCGCGGCGGGTCATAGTGAAACAAATTTTTTTGGTGAAACAAATTTAAAATTTTATCCTTTATTTTACAATCATAATATAATAATATTTATAAGCCTCCGTTTTGAAAGTTTTAAATTTTAATACATTCACATTTCTATTTAAAATTCAATTTTATGTACAAGTCAATAACTGGCCGCCAAAGCCGCGCATTTTTGAATACAACGTATGACATGAAAAGAAATTTGTTGGCTAAAAATATAATTTATTTTAAAAATTAATAACGACGCGCAACATCAAATATAGTTGGTTGATTTGGTTAAATTTTGATTTAAAAAATAAAACTTTTTAAAATTTAACCAACAAAATTCTTAATATCCCGTTAAAGTTTGTAATTCCTGTATATTTGATTGTACCCTGACAATTGACTCGTCAACAATTGACCCTAACTCTAAATTTTTAATTTACCCTAATTCAGAATTTTAATATTCCATTGTTTAAATTTTTGACACATGACAAAGTAATACTAAATTATGTAACTATAATTTTAATTTATGATGATAATTAAAACCGAATTTTAAACAATATAAAATGTATATGGGATATTAAAAATTTTGTTGAATGTTGGTTAAAAATATTTATTTAAAAATAGTAACGCCGCGCAATGCGTTTGTTTGTTCTTCCCGAAACTCTAAAAATATTGTTAGGAAAAATTGATTGCTATACGAAACATTTCTATCCCACGTTTCGAGCTTGTTCAAGACAACGTAAGATGAAATGTACTTATCTTTACCTGTCACATCCCAATTACCACCAAACTTTGTGAATACTTTAAAATTTTGTAGGCTGACATGAAGTTGTCATGTTGGAGCTGATCCGATGCAAACTGCAATGGGCTTTACCGGTGTAATGAGTTAACGATATTTCACGATTAGAGTATTACAAATTTCGACAGTATCCTTCCTTCTAAAGTATAAAATGTAGCTAAGTTTGGTGTTTTCCTACATGAAATCCCTTCGACATCTCTGATTCAATAGGTACAATTTTTGTAGGTGACTAAAATCATAGAAATTTTTGAGGTTTCTCCTAGCATTTTAATCACGTTTTACATTTTGATTCTTCCTTACTCTCCCTGTGTGGCTCTTAAAGTTATAAATTGCTTGCAACGTTGTTGGTTGACCTGTAACTATCATAATTGAGCAAATATTCTTGTATGTTTATTTTAAATGTGTAAGATGTAATAGTACAGAAAAAGCAAAGAAGATCAAGAGAGTAGTAAAAAATGGAGCGGCACCAAGAAGCTCACTGCCAGGCAAAGAGACATCTATCTACTTTACCAAAGACAGAAAAGATCTTGGAACGTCCAGGCAGACAACAGAGAGAGGGAGAGAGAAGTAACACTCCTGTCACCCAAGGAGGACAGTGGGTGTTGTTGGTTAAGTTCAGGTCTAAACTTACCCAGTACTAGAAGTCTTGTAAGAAGATGATGATGAAGAAAAAGATCTCTAGTCTAGTGATGCAAGAAGATAAATGCCCTTCCTGGAATTCCCTCAGCATACCTACATAACTTTTAAGGTCACAATTGTTTTGATTTCCTCTGCTCTTAGTTCTTACTACATAGTTGAGCTGCAACTATCATATTTTAGCAGACATTAATTAATTAAAATTGAAATTTAAAAACACCACTATTAAGCGTACACTTTTACTCAGCAGTGTCACTACAACTAGTTTACAAAAATACTTTTAAAACTATATATCAAAAGCAAAATAAAGTTCTATGTATAAATTCGTTCATAAAACTTCCAAAAAGCTAATATAATTTAGATAAGTCAAAGAGAGGGTTAAAATTATTAATAAAACATTTTTGCTACCTCAGTGTCAGATAAAGTAAACAAATAGGTCTTCAGTGCGGACTTAAACGCCTCAACAGAATAACATTGTTTAACTGAGTCTGGTAGTGCATTAAAAACTCGTGGACCAACCACACTAAAACTACGATCACCAAAACCCTTGGTTGAACGATAAGGGACTATGAGCCTAACAGTGTGTCCATGGTGAGCATACTTAAACATATCTTGAAGGTACAGTGGCGCTATTCCATTAATAGCCTTAAAAGATAGGAGACATATTTTAAAAATCACTCTTTTAGGTATATTAAGCCAGTGCAATTTATCAAGATCGTCGCCTAGGTGATCAAATTTATATTTTCCAGTTACTGCTTTTGCACAGGCATTTTGAATAAGCTGTAGTTGATGTATGAGGTACTTGGAGATGCCGTAAAACATGGCGTTACAGTAGTCCAAACAAGAAACAACGAGGCTATTAACAATTGTCTTAAGCTGTTTTGTAGTCAGCAGAAACCGTATCTTAGTGAGGTTGCGTAGTGTTAGGAAACATTTCTTCTTCAACTCAACAACATGGTTGCTCATAGTAAGCCCAGAGTCCATATGTATCCCAAGATTCTTAACTGTGCTCACAAATCGAATAGTTGTGTCACTCCCAAAATTCACTCCCTTTATATTGATCTCTTGTAGGACGGACATAGGACCAAAAACGATTATCTGTGTTTTACTGTCATTCATTGCTAGAAAGTATTTTTTCATCCAAGCTCTAATAGATGCAAAGCATCCCCTGAGCTTAGAGAGTAACGTTTCGCACTGGTTGATGGGTTTAAATCTCTTTAAGATCTGGTGGTCATCTGCATACCCATAAATTGTGAAGTCCATTCCTTGTACAAATCTATAGATGGATCTGATATAAAGGTTAAACAGAACAGGTCCCAGAACTGAGCCCTGAGGAACACCAAACTTAATAACTATTTCTTCAGAGAGAGTAGAACCAAGTCGAATTCTCTGAGCACGACCTTTTAGAAAGCTAGTAAACCATTTTAACACAGTGCCCCTTAGTCCTATCTCCTTCATGAGAATGTTCAGTAAGACATCATGGTCTACAGTATCAAACGCCGCCGATAGGTCAAGCATCATGACAACTGTAGCACTCTTTTCATCTGATGCAACTAGAAGATCATTCCATATTCTGATCAATAATGTTTCTGTGCTGAAGGTCTTCTTGTATGCAGACTGTTCTGGGCAGTGGAGATTATGCTTATCTAAGTGATCGTTTAGGCGCTTTAACACCACTCTCTCGATTAGCTTCCCAAGGAAAGTGAGGTTTGAGACAGGGCGAAAGTTTTTCAAGACATTAGGATCAAGAGAGTTACTTTTCAGGAGGGGAACAATATCAGCAAGTTTGACTCCGTCCATTGAACCTTGAGATAAGGATGCATTAACAATCTGTAGAAGTAATGGTAGCAGAATGCTGATGTTCTCTTTAAGCAGTGTAGTAGGTAAGATGTCAGAAGGTGAACATTTGATACCAAACTCGTCAATGATTTCCTTTAGCTCATCTAATGTGACAGGTTCAAAGGTAGACCAGTGGTAGGATTCGGGAGCTTCAGCAGAAGAGTCTGATGGAAGAGTAAACCGATCATGATCCATATCTTTCCTAATGTTATCAATCTTAGATGTAAAGTAGGCGTTAAAGTCTGCTGCTAGCTTTGGAAGATCATCTGTGTAATCTGGCAGAGGATTAGATTGTTTACGGTCTAAATTTCTATTGACCAGCTGCCACAAAGTTCTTGGGTTGCCTTTAGAGTTTTCTACCATATTCTTAAAGTACTCCTTCTTCTTCAGATCAGCCATTTTAGAACATTCTGAGCTGATGTCTCTAAACATGATTTTATCTTCAAGCGTTGCTGTTGGTTTACGAGTTTTTGCCTCGGCTTTTCTTCTCAGCTTTCTGTAGTCCCTGTATTCATTATCAAACCAAGGTGCAGAATCAATAACAGATACCTTCTTGGAGACTATTGGAGCATGCTCATCTAGGAGTTCAGCACACAAGTCGTTCAAGTTGGCAACAGATGTACTCATATCAGTAGTTCCAATTTTCCCAAGATCAATCAAGTTTACTATATCGAAGAGATCACTGGTAAATTGGTCATCATCCACAGTCTTCAAATTTCTGTAAGTGATATCTTTAAAATATTTCTTTTCGAATTCCAAAGAGAAGTCACAATAGACTGGAAAATGATCTGATCCATGCCTATTCACACTATCAACCAAAACCTTGCATTGAAGCTGATTCTTGATAGAGAAGCAGAAGATTTGGTCTAGTGATCCACCAGCAACATGGGTTGGTTCATTAACATGATGATTAAATCCGTAAGACAGAAATAAGTCAAGCGTCTTCCTAACAAGCTTGTCATTCTTATTCTCAAAATGAATGTTCAAGTCCCCAGCAATGACGAGACAATCACACTTCATGGTGATGGCTGACAGAAGTAAATCAAGTTCCTGATGAAAGATAGAGGAGAGATAACCAGGTCGATACAAAGAGACAAACATGACCTTAGTGCCTGTTGCTGTTTTGATTGATGCAGCTGTGTACTCAAATGTAGAGAAAGTAGCAGAGCATTGGAACTGAGACATTGAGTATTCTCCCCTAAACAACAAAGCAGTTCCACCACCTTTTTTGTCTTTCCTGAAATTATGTATGATTCTGTAACCGTAAGACTTAATAATTGCAGTGGTGGGGCAGTTAACATCTGTTAGCCAAGTTTCACAGAATGCAGCAATATCAATGCTTTTGTCTGATAAGTTGCACATAATATCGTTTACTTTGTTAACAAGTGACCATGGATTGAAAAGGAAGAATTTCAGACAGCTCAGTGATTTCTGTCCGTGTTGTGGCTTTGGTAAAAAGGGGTGGTCTTTTTAACTTTCTCCTGCAAATCTTTGAATATGGGGCACAAAACAGGATCATAGGCTGCATGTAGAAGCTCATTGCCATGCTTACCAGCTTTCTTGCAGTTTGAACAACACAATGGAGCGGAGCGATCACATGTCCGTGTTTCATGTGCTCCTGCACAAAAGCCACAGACATGTTCACTTTTGCAATGACCTTGGTGACTTTTGCTATGGTGACCAAATGATTGACAGTTAAAACATCTGAGGACAAAGAAGCTATCATAGACTTTGCAAACTCTCTGAGTTCCAATAAAGAGCTTATCACCTTGTTTAGCAATTGCAGATCGTACAAGATTACTGACACGAACAATAGCTTTGAAGGAGTTCTGGTCATTCTTTAGGGGCACTATAGCTACTACATCAATTTTCTTGTCTTCTATACTGGTACCTGGATCATTGATGAGCAGATCTATTCCATGGTTTTGACTAACTATCATTTCCTTTATTTCCTCCTTCAAGTAATCACGCTCAAGACCAACAACTGTTATTCTTGGTAACTTTGTGGCTACGGTTGATGTACTATGTTGGGGGGAAGCTTTGCTAAGCTTCTCACGCAATGTTTCTGCCTCAGACCTAGAGTTAAGAATAACGGCAGTATCATTAGATTTGAGCTTCATTGTGTTAACAATACTAATCTTATTCTTGATGCAGCTTTCTTCCAACATACTTTTATCGATTGGTTTGCCACTCTGATCATTCTTAATTACAATCATGCTGCGAAGTTTCTCAGTCCTCTGAGAATCATCCCATGGGTTGCAGGGAGTCATTGGAGGTTTTGCTAGAGCATTGTTTTGCTTACTTGGCAAGATTTCCTTAAGCATCTCTTTTACACCGGACAGTTCTTCAGCAAAATTCTGCTTTAACTCCTCAATCTTTCTGTCAACGTAAACATTAGTAGCTCCCCCTGTGCTTTGCTCTGTCATCTCCTCTTTAACTGTAATACAATGGTTACAAAAGAACAAGAATCTGCCAAATCTTTTCTCATAGGACTTGGTGTTAGAAACAGCTGGTCCCAAATGGGAAGTGAAGCTAGATGGGGCACTAACACAATAGGAATCATCTGTGCAGCCTACCGCATGGAAATAGTTTTTACAGTCATAACACTGAACTCTGTAGTCAGGATTAACTCCCTCCTGACAGTGGTTACAACAATCATTTTGTATGATGTTGGGAGCAGCTATGTAGGTCCTTGTACCCTCTGTGTTCTGGGGAGAGAAAGTTATAGATGATATAGGAGAATCAGGCATAGCTAAGTTTAGTAGGTCAGGGGTTGCTGTGTAAGGATTGTAAACTTGTAAGACAGTCGAGACTCCAACAGAAAACAATAAAGACAACCCACCGGAAGAGTTCTGACTTATGGGTCAGATACCCTTTGATAGTTTTGGTTTGAAGGGGAAGAGGGCTATCAAGGATAGAACACTCCTCTAGTAACTGTGTATCGCTTGTGTGTGTATCGCTTTTCAACTTATTGCCACGACATACTTTCAACACGTGCCATACCTCAAATTATTTGTTATATAGTAGTGTTGAAAGTATTAAAACATGATGTACACTTGTGCTGAAGATTGCATATATATATAAATATATTGTTAGTCAGCGTAAACTGTCAGTAAAACAACGCCTTGACTTCAAATGTCGGTAAAATGTACCTTTACTGTCATCCTCAAATTATTTGTTATATAATAGTAGTGTTGAAAGTATATATTTATGGGAATGGGCATCTCCACTACTAGTACTGGGAACGCCTGGTCGATCTATTTCTAATGTCTCTTCAACGAAGGCAGGAGCGATTCATCATTCTCCATATGTGGAAAATCCTCCATGGAAAGACCAGGAATGATCTGAACGTTCTATTTGTTTCACGCCCAGGCTTGGAAACCTTGCAATAATTCCATCAAAACTAGAACCAGTTCAATTCTTC